AAGTTTTTTTAGGATATTAATGGGTTGCAAGAAATGTTTGTTCTGTTCTTAGTGTCCCCCATGCATTATCAATGGATCATAAATTATGATTCACTATCATGATATTAGAATAATGGGCATTCTTGTTTGTTCAAGTTCCAATCTCATCAATACTGGAAAAGTTCATTGCAGACTCAATTTGCACCTTAGGCTTGTCTTTGTGTGGATTTCCTTAAGAGAAAAATAAAGTTGACTAATTTTGGTTATTGGATCTGAAGAGTCTTCATGGAGTTGCATGGAGATATGTTCTGCCTAAGATAGAATTTTGATTTTCCCTACTTCTGGGAAGTTTTCCATTTATTTAGCTGTAAGATTTGCTTTGCTGCAAGTACTTCCATCCTGTCATTATTGAAGCTTTGACTACTCATCAATGCTACTTTTTTTTCTTTTTTTTTTCAAATTTCCTGTTCTATCTAATTGCCAGGTAGCACCAGGTGATGTTGTTGAATTATCAGGGATCTTTCTTCCTGTTCCTTACACTGGATTTAGGGCACTGCAACCTGGTTTAGTTGCAGATACCTACTTAGAAGCCATGTCTGTCACTCATTTTAAGAAGAAATATGAAGAGTAAGCTTTGTTTTTCCATTTGCAATCACCAAAAAGCACCTATGGTTAAGATCTGTTTAACTTACTGTTTGTTTTTTAATGGATATGCCCCTGCTCATACTTATCCTGGAAATTGAATGAATATGCTTGTAATAGAGGGTCTGTCATGTTATGGAAAATTCCTAAATGAAATGCTTTCTGACTATATATTTAATTACTTCAATTGAATCCTAAGCAGTTTAGTGGACAAACTCATATATGCCCTATTGCAGTTATGAACTTGGGGAAGAGGAGGCAGAGCAAATTGCTCATTTAGCTGAGGATGGTGATATTTATAACAAGTTGGCAGTCATTAACACCTGAAATTTATGGACATGAAGATATTAAAAGGCTCTGCTTCTTCTTCTTGTGGGTGCTCCTCACCAGAAACTGAAGGATGGGATGAAGGTCAATTTTCCTCTTTCCTAATATGAGTTCTGGGTGTTTTGAGTCATCATTATCTTAAGTAATACACTTAAATCAAAGAAATGTGGCCTCTGTCTATCATTCATTTATTAAGATGAATTCTGGTTTTAAGCAATCAGGCTGAAAAGTTTCATTCCTCTGTCCTTTTCCATCTTGAAAGGCTTTGTTTTCTTGTTATGTTCTCATTTTTTTTGGTTTAAATGATTACTCTGAGGCTTGTGTTAATAGTTTTGACAAGTTTAAATGTGTTCTTCTGTGCTGTGTCATTGAGACTGACTATCAATGCATTACTTCATTGGATTGCAGATTAGAGGAGATCTACATGTATCTTTGATGGGTGATCCTGGGGTTGCCAAAAGTCAACTTCTCAAGCACATAGTAAATGTGGCACCTAGAGGGGTGTATACCACTGGCAAAGGAAGCAGTGGAGTTGGTTTAACAGCGGCTGTTCAAAAAGATCCAGTAACAAATGAAATGGTCTTGGAAGGGGGAGCATTGGTGAGAAATTATTTGCGTAACAATTTATTTGTTTAGCTGCTGATATTATAGTTAATATAAGTATGAGCTGGCTTAGAAGAATATGGCTACTCAAACTGCATCAAGTTTGTGCCATACTAAACACACCAATCTGTCTGCTGCATTGGTTATGCTGCATAATTGGTTCTGTTAATTATTATAAATTTGAGTCAGTATACCAGCTCCAGTTATTTTATTCATCCCTTGAAGTTATCTTGAATATGA